TACCATGGGATCAGCCTTCTAAGCATAGATTATAAGGTCTTATCGAGTGTATTGTGCGAAATACTGAAGCCCACCGTCAACGAACTGATTGGACCTTACCAGTGTGGCTTCACAATACGTCAAATCTTGGAAAAGGCCCGCGAGAAAAGGATCGAAACTCACCACCTATGTGTCGACTTTAAAGCCGCTTTCGACAGCACTAAAAGGAGTTACCTATACGCCGCTATGTCTGAATTTTGCATCCCCGCCATACGGCTGTGTAAAATGATGTTGAGCAATACCACCAGCTCCGTCAGAATTCGGAAGACCTCTCCGAGCCGTTCGCCACTAAACGGGGTTTCGACAAGGCGACTCCCTTTCATGCGACTTCTTTAATCTGATGTTGGAGAAGATAATAAGAGCCGCAGAGATCAACCACTCAGGAAAAATTTACTACAAGAGCGTGCAATTGCTGGCGTACGCCGATGACATCGACATCATCGGTAACAAGAACCGCGAAGTCTGTTCTACCTTTTCCAAGTTAGATAAGGGGGCAAAGCGAATGGGTCTGGTGGTAAACAAGAACAAGTAGAAGTATCTCCTGTCATCAAACAAACAGACAGCACATTCGCGCCTTGGCACCCACGTCACTGTTGACAGTAATAATTTTGACAAAGTAGAGAATTTCGTTTACTTGAGAACCAGCATTAACACCGATAATAATATCAGCATGCAAATCTAACGCAGAATCACTCTTACCTACAAGTGCTACTTTGGACTGAGTAGGCAATTCAGGAGTNTAAACGAGGACAAGACGAAGTATCTCCTGTCATCAAACAAACAGACAGCACATTCGCGCCTTGGCACCCACGTCACTGTTGACAGTAATAATTTTGACAAAGTAGAGAATTTCGTTTACTTGAGAACCAGCATTAACACCGATAATAATATCAGCATGCAAATCTAACGCAGAATCACTCTTACCTACAAGTGCTACTTTGGACTGAGTAGGCAATTCAGGAGTAAAGTCCTCTCTCGACGTACGAAAACCACGCTCTATAAGTCACTCATCATGCCCGTGCTGGTATATGGCGCAGAAGCATGGACAATGACAACATCCGATGAGGCGGCTCTTGGAGTATTCGAGAGAAAGATTTACGGGCCTTTACGCGTTGGTGACGTCGAGTACCGCAGTCGATGGAACGATGAGCTGTATGAGCTTTACAACGACATGGACATAGTGCAGCGAATTAAAATACAGCGGCTCCGCTGGCATGGCCATGAAAGTATTCAACTCGGAACCCGCTGGTGGCGGCAGAGGTGGCACTGCGATGGAAAGACCAGGTGGAGAAGGACTTGGCTTCACTTTCCAATTGGCGTCAGTTGGCACAGAAAAGAAACGACTGGCGTGCTTTGCTGAACTCGGCCAAAATCGCTTAGGCGGTTACAGTACCAAATAAGAAGAAGAAGAAGAAGTTGTAGCTGCTATTTCGCAGATCACTGCATCAGACTGCTTCATCGCGATCACTGGGATTCGACCCAGCGGCCCCAGCTTACAAAGCACACTTGCTACCACTGAGCTAAGTTCGCCACGTAAACCGTTGTTGCTTTTTCCACTTTTTTCGTATGTCAACCCAACTACAACCAAGCGCAGCTATTCCGCTGCTATTTACACTTGATCATGTGGTTGTTGGCTTGTTGTGGCTATGTAATATTCTATTTTTAGAATGTTTAATTTTAAAGTGTGCTCGTTCTTAACTTATTTCTTTTTCTTATTTATTATAAGGCCATAAATAACAAAAACAAATAAGTTAAGCACGAGCACACCTAAAAGTTAAACATTCTGAAAATAGAATATTACAAAACCAACAACAACAACAATGCAGCAATTTTATTGAGCTTGAGGCCGTTTTTAATGAAAAAATTGTGTGGAAACAACAATCATGTATACAAACGCAGAAGAACACTTTACAAGACTTATTAAAGCAATTACACCTGTTTTTTGGCATTTGCTCTTATTTTTTACAATTTCTTTCAATTCTATTACAATTTATTCCATTTCTATTGCAATTTATTAAATACATTAACACATTGAACCAAAAACACCAATACTCTAACCAAAAACACATCTACAGCCTGCCAGGAAAAACGGTACGAAGAAGAGTTACTTTACTTATGGAACTGTACGATGGTTTAGTCATCTGTTAGGCTGAACATATTCTCCTTATCAAGCTTAGTAATTGTACGATGAAATCTCCAGAAACGTAAATTTTGAATTACAACGTGGGATATGATCCCGGCAGAAATTAAATTTCATTGTGATTCTGACCAATCATGTACTTCTTCATATCGTTATATCTCGGTTTCAACTCCTCGTAGAGACTTCGGCTTAGGCCCAATTTCAGATTGCCTCTTTAAGGAGAGATTTTTGATTAAGACTATGTTCAAACAGGCACCTAATTGGCAATTAAGAACCTTTTCACCAATTTAAGCCTTAATTGTTACCCAATTTATCATACAAAAATTAATTTGTGTCAGATTGCCCATGCAACCCTGCTAGGTATGTTTAATTTTGACCTGGAGGTATGTTTATTGAACAAAGAGCAATCAGATGTTTGTTTCTGGTCGTCGTTTGCAGCTGATATTCCATCAGGGATGGAAAATTGGATTATAAAATTGTACCTAATTTACGGAAAACTTTACCTAAAAGTAGATAGATGTACCTAAAAAGTAAATATGTATTTATATATAAAGAAAATAGGAGGACAACAATTCGAATCAAAACCATATCAACTTCTGTAATCACATTAAACAAATTTTGGCTATGAAAAGAATCTCTTCGAGCAGCGCGAGGCAAAACTATGTTGTAGAAAGGTGAAACACTCTCCTCCCAGTTCTTCGAACTGACGTTGTAAAAATAAATATTTTCCGTCTATCTGGCGAAATCAACTACAGATGCGTTACTTTGACCACACTTCTGTATCATTTGCATGCCCGTTCACAAAGGAGGAAATCTATTGGACCAGTTGTCCGCACCAGAAAATGCGTTGAAATGTCAATAAAAATAAGAACTGATTTCCTGAGAAGTTATTGGCTACATTCCAAATGTACTTAAAATTGTGTGTTTGTACCGAATGTACTATCAAACTAAATAAAGGTACGATTGTATCAACTTTTCCATCACTGTAGGTAATCCAGCAGTTGATTTCGTATCGCTAATTGCGCCGTTGACGTGTGTGTGAACACCAAACTCAATGCCGCAATTTAAAGCTTAATTGCCTCAGCTAATTGGCCTGTTTGAACATAGTCTAACTTCAAAAATTCATTTTCGGGTCACACATTTTATTTCCACTTAAATGGCCAATATTGTCCATTAAAAGTGCGTGTTTTCGGTACAAATGCATGTAAGGATTTGGACGTTGCCGTCCGGCATAAATGGTTGCATTTAGGTTCTTTCTTGACTTCCGTATCTGAGGATAACATTAAAGATTACGTTTTTAAGCAAACTGGTTTAGATAAAAATTTGTTATCCTGCTTCAACCTGGTTAAGAAAAATGTTTTAGCATCAACTACTGAGATAGTTTGTTTTAAGTTGGGAGTTCCGGAGTCCTCGTACGCGAAGTTGCTGAGCTCGAAAATTTGGCCTACAAATGTCTCGGTCAAGCCTTTTAAGTTTTTTCTAAAGGATCAACAACAGCCACCTAGGACACAGTAACGAGCTCGAGCCCTCCTAACCGTGGACTCAAGGTGTACTTCCAGAACTTATGCGGCATGCGAACCAGGCTGATATTGTGAATTCTTTTAGTGCGAAAATGGATTACGACATCTTTGTTTTTGTTGAGACGTGGTTGAATGCAAGTTTTTTCGACAGTGAGTTCTTCGACTCGAATCTTTTTAATATTTTTCGCAAATACAGAGATGCTGCCAAAATTGGTTGCCTTCGTGGTGGTGGGGTTCTAATTGCTGTCAAGCGTCAACTCCGTGTATTCCTGTTTCCACTCAACAATGATGACTCTGCTCGATCAAATTTGTGTTTGTATAAGTTGTCAGTCTTCGCACGGTTCTATATACCTACTCGCTTCGTATATACCGACTGATAGTTCATTTGAGTTGTACAAAGCTCATGCTGACAACGTGGTATCTCTAGTTTTAAATAACCTAAAGGATAATGATTTATGTGTGCTAGGTGATTTTAACTTACGCAAGATAAATTGGTCCGCTAGTATTTCTAATTCTAGTCTTACACCGACTAATGTTTCTGCAAATCATGAATTATATTTCATTGATAATGTTCTTAGTCCTAATTTATTTCAGGTTAATAATTTCGTTAATTCTCTTACTAGAACTTTGGAGCTAATGTTTGTAAGTGATAACATAAGCTACAAAGTTAGTGAATGTTTGAATCCAATAACTCCTAAAGAGCAGCATCATTTACCTTTAGTTGTAAAACTCGATTTCTACTGTTTAGCTTCTGTACCTTTTGATGCATATTATCTTTTAATTATGCGTTATGCGATTTTTCTAGCTTTAATGAATTACTACTCGATATTAATTGGGATAATTTATTTGCAGATCTTGATACAATTAACAGTTTCACTACTTTTAAATCCATTTTGTGTAAACTCTTCTTGGATAACTTTCCGGTTAGAAAGAAAAAACCCTATAGATTACCCTGGTACTCTAAGGATTTAAAAAAGCTTAAAAATCTTTAAAACAATTATTTTAAAAAGTTTAAATCTACGATGAACCATCCAATTTTCGTTAAATATAAACGAGCTTTAAAAAATTTCAACTACTTAAATAAATATCTTTATAATAACTACATTGGTAGCATGGAGAACATTAAATCAAATCCGGAAACCTTCTGGAATTACATAAAATCCAAAAGGAGCTGCGCTAGTGTTCCCACCGGCGTATTTTTAGACAATAATTGTGCGCGAACCTCAAGTGAAGCGGTACATTTTTTTGCTGAGTTTTTTAACTCCAATTTTGTTGATGAAGACCATGATCAGCCATGCGACTTTTCTTCTAGTCTAGACTACTCTTTGGACTTCGAGGCTCTATGCCTTTCATCTGAGGATATTAGTAACGCTTTGCTTAAATTGAAATCTTCCTCCCAAACTGATGTCCATGGACTTTCTAAGTTCTAATCAGGGTGTCCAGATTGTTAAAAAAAGCGTAATTTCTGAAAAATTCGCCAATTTTTTTTTTATCAAAGTCATGATATCGATTTAACAAATATTTTATTTAAAAATGAGATCTTGTTATAACATAGTTTTAAAAACCAAGAACGAATATAATACCTTTAATAATAAATAAGACAAATCACTTATATAATAGTGATGTAGAAACAATTTTCTTTAAAAATACGCATAGTTTTTAAAAATATTTGTTTCAACACATTTTGCAAAAGGACTGCGCAATTATTAAATTTATTATAACTCATATTAATTGATTAATCGCACAATCCGCTTTTAAGAGCTCGGCGATAAATATTAAATAAAAACCTAGAATAAGGCGAGATCAGCTATTTCAAGTCGAATTTATATAAGGTGATAGCAGGAGTACAAAAACAAAAACTTACATGTATTTTGTTTTTACTTTGGCGGCATAAACTGTCAAAATCTGTAAGTGTGTGTGTGGAAATTCAAACAAAATTTTTCAATTTGACATAAGAAGCCGTGAGGCGAAACACATACACAAAATCAGCTGATCTAGTAACACCACCTTATATAAATTCGCCTTGAGCTATTTCCACAATTTTTCAAAATTACCTATAGTGTCTGAATGATGTACAATTCTGTTGTTGTCATTTATTGAGCTATTCGACCTTGATAATATACTGTTTGATATTAGAAACGTTTTGCAGCAGAAACTATTAGCCTATGTTGTATGAACAACATTTTATTCGAACTGTTGAATTAAGGCTTTCCAACCTCACCCTATTTCGAATCTTAGTTTTTGTTGAATTCATTACGGAAAAAACGCGCTCAACAAGGCATGCGAGTGCGGCAAGGATAATAATATGAATTTACTTATATTTCCAAACATTTTATTGCCAGTTTCCATTCCGTAAGCAATTATCCAAAATTCTTCAGAGTCGGATGGAATGGCTCTGAGAAAAGTTATTCCATAGGAAAGTTAAAACATTTAAATATTCAGTTTCCGCTGCTTTTCTTTCCTTAAAAGTCAAATAGTGAATTGGCAGGTCCCTGAAACTGGCCCTTTTGTGATTCACACACTTTTCTGGTGACAAAATCAAAGCTTTTTTAAAAGTATTTAATTGACTAGGTAATCAAAAGTTCTTCGATTAGGGAGATTAAAAGTCTTTTAACATGCTTATTAAGTCACGCAGTTCATTAGCCTCTTCTGTAAAATTATCGTGGAAAACTAAGTTTTGTATATTTTTATAATTGGAAAAATTTTATTTGAAGGGAAAAAATTGCCAATGGCGATTTCCTAAATTTTTACGCGCAAATATCCAAAAAAAATCGCCAAATTGGCGCGAAATCGCCAAATCAGGACACTCTGTTTCTAATAAAAAATTGTCTTGCTTTGGTCTATCTTTGAAAGTATTTTTCAATAAATCTTTATCGTCTGGAAGTTTCATTGAGGCATGGAAGCTCACTTCCATAACGCCCATCTTTAAGAGTGGCAATAAAAATGACGTTAGGAATTATAGGCCCATTTCTAAGCTCTCGACTATCTCAAAAACCTTTGAACACGCAGTCAATCCAAAGTTGAGCTTTGCGGTTAAATCTTTAGTTTGCCCAAATCAGCATGGGTTTGTCGCCAATAGATCTACAGTATCGAATCTAGCTGTTTTCAATGAATACTACATTGAGTCTTTCTCGGCTGGTTTTCAGGTCGACTGTATTTACACTGGCTTTTCGAAGGCTTTCGATAAAGTCTCTCACAGAATCTTAATTAAAAAACTTGCTTTTCTTGGCGTTCACTCTGCTTTTCTGCTATGGATAAACTCTTACTTATGCAACAGACGTTGTGTTGTTACATTTGATGGTATTTTATCAACCCCCTCTGTTGCCATCTCTGGAGTCCCACAAGGTAGTGTCTTGAGACCACTCCTATTTGTAGTATTTATTAATGATATCACAAGCTGCTTTTCATTTGCTAAATTTTTGCTTTATGCTGATGATTTAAAGATTTTCTCAGTGATTAAGACCGCAGAAGATGCCATCAACCTTCAAACTGATATTGATAGACTTTACTTGTCCTGTCTAACCCTAACCTGTCTAAGTGCTTTCAAATGACTTACGCGAAAATATCCAACAGTATTCCTGCTACGAACAATATATCGACATGTGATCTTCAGTGTTAGTGAGATTAAGGACCTTGGCATCATTTTTGATAATAAATTCTCTTTTCACAACCACATAAATTATATCACTTCCTTCTCCATGTTGGATTTCGTAAGACGCAATGCCTCTAAATTTTTTGATCCCTATACCGTCAAGTTACTCTATGTATCGTTTGTTAGGTCACACTTAGAATATGGTGTTTTTGTTTGGAGACCAAGTAGCCAGCAAGCTTACAATAGAATATAACGTGTACACTAAATTTTTCTTAAGTTTGCACTTCGGTCTCTAAACTTTATGGATCCCATACCATCCTATTCTGCTCGTCTCATGCTTATAAGTCGCAAGTCCTTAGAAACTCGCAGGTCTATACTGTGCCTGTCCTTTACTCATTATATCATAACTGGAGTCAGTGTTGTCTTTACTTGTTGGAAAGGATTCGATTTAATGTTCCCCAGCGAACTCTTCGGAACTTCTAACCTTTTTATGTGGATAACTTTAAAACTAAGTACGCCAGTAATGCCCCCATTACTCGCGCTTTACGTGAATTGAATTTCCTGAATAGCAATTTTGATCTGGATTTTTCCCTTTCAAGTATTGCTTTTTTGAATCTTCTGAATTCTGTATTATAGTTTTATTGAAATATATATAAAATGTATATTCATAGTCTGTGCTAAGTTACATTTGTTCATAAATAGTCTGTAAGGATTGAAATTCATAGACTTAGATAAATAAATATGAGATATGCAACCCTGTGTTTGTACCAAACATATTCTAACAAAGTCACAAAACTCGGCGCAACAATAGTAAGTGATTTCTAATGCACCCGAAAATCTGCCACAAAAATAAGGGTTTAAGTGCTAAGGAAATGTACAGCAGAATTCACCAACCCATGTACAAATTAGATTTTCAGTTTCAATCCTTTTTACTCGTAATTTTTACTGCAAACTCTAAATAAGAGAGTTTAATTCAGCAGTTGTTTGGATTGAAAAGAAAACTAACGCTTACTACATATTCACGATTATACGGGGGTGGTTCCAAAAGTACCCAGAGATGGAGGTAGTTTTTTGAAAAATATCACTGTGTTAAAAAGTACACAATCTATAAAGCATATGTTTCAAGTTTGAAGACACCACGTTGTTTAGTATATGCTTGGCAGCCGTCAGCAGTGATCGTTTTGAGTGAATTTGTGAAAATGGAGAAAATTGGTCATCGATATGTGATACAATACTTTTATTTGAAAGGCCTCAGCCTATCTATATAAAAGCTGAAATAGATTCTACTTTGGGCGGGTCTGCCCCTTCGTTTACAACAGTAAAATATTGGGTAGCAGAGTTTAAACGAGGCCGTACGAGCTGCCAAGACGAGCATCGCAGTGGTCGACCAAATGAGGTGACGACACCAGAAATGGTGAAGCAAATCCACAGAGCGGTAATGGGTGATCGTCGACTGAAAGTGCGCGAGCTAGCAGATATAGTAGGCATTTCAAAAAGTACGGTACATCGCATATTATCTGAAGATTTGGAAATGAGAAAGCTGTGTCCAAGATGGGTGCCGCATTTGCTCACACTCGATCAAAAAAAGTGTCGTGAAGAGGTTTCAATTGAGTGTTTAGTGAATTAATGTTTGAGTTGCTTCCTCATGCACCCTATTCACCAGATTTAGCCCCTTCGGACTATTTTATGTTCCCCAACTTCAAAAAATGGCTCCGTGATCAAAGATTTTCTAACGATGAAGAAATGATGTCGGCAGTTAATGGCTATTTTGAGGAGCAAGACAGTTCTTATTATAAAAAGGGTATCGAATTTATTGAGCATCGCTGGGAAAAGTGTATAGAGCTGAAAGGAGATTATGTTGAAAAATAAATATATTTTTTCCCAAAATTTTTGTGTTTTCTTTGTTAGATCGGGTACTTCTGCGACAACCCCCGTAATCTCACCAGAGCTGCAGCCGTTTGGTACTGGAAGATTTCTTTATAGGATACTTACGCATGGCAAGCTACGAAAACCTAACGGCTTGCTCACGGCATTTCAACATGACAACAAGAAAGTTTTAGAGATGATTTTTTATGTAAAACACAATTTACGTACACGATATATAAAATATATGTATACATAGGTATATATACTGTATTACTATGTGTAATGTGTAAATACGAATATATATTTATTTGTACTTGCATTTATAATTATAGAATAATACTGATTTATTCTGCTGAAAAAAGGTTTCATTCGAATCGGTCGTTTGTGGAAATCATTATTTTTTCAAAGAAGGCGGCAAAAGCATGCTACTTAAATGTTAAAGCTTTAGTGATTCAGCTAAACTTCGGTGCATTGCCTAATTTGGAGGAACATATTTGCTGTCGCGAAAGGGTTAAGCAGAATATCTTATTTTGAGCTTTAAACTTCGTTTATTTTTGTGTTTTGCAAAATTCGACCGTTTAATTTTTGGGTATAAAGTTAATTATAGAGATTTCACAACAAAGCACATTCAGAACTGTTTCATATGCCAAATGACTATTTCGTCAAATATTTCGTTAAAAGATGATATTAGGGATTTAATACAACTCTATATAAAAATATGCCAAAAATCTTTAATGCCTGTAAGTGCTCTTTCTCATTCATCGATAATTGGCACACCCATTGGTTAGGATCTTTGACATGTTGTTTGGAATTGAAATTAACTTTCAAAGAGGGCAATATCATAAGAAACGCACGATACAATCACATAAAATAGTTGCGGTTTAATGTGTGGAAATGTCACTATTTGCTTAATTTTTAAATTTTTCATTGCCTTTGCTATCGGTATGGGCCCCACAAGCAGTTTTGGGAAAAACTACCCCTTAAAATATACAATGTATCCGTGTTCGTATTGCTTGCATATAGTTAGCCACAGTATATGTACTCACATGGCATTAGTAAAGTATTTAAAATCACCACTATTTAAAATCACCACTACTTATTACATTTGACTTCCTTTAAAAACTTTTGGTTGTTTTGTTCAAATTAATACTGTATTTTATTACTTCATATTAAAATTGTATGCACTAAAGTTTTTATGTAGCTCATTGCAATGTTTTCATTGATTCCAGCAGATCTTTGTTCGTACACGTAAACTAATACACTCAGATGCATGCCTTTAATGACACAACTAAACATCTTCCCATACTGTCATTTATAATTGGCCTTTCCTACATACATTTATGTCACACATGCGCAGACTACGTTCGAAAAAATTCCTTTTTCTCTTGAACAAAAATCCCTACTCAAGGGGATTTTAACCAATCGAAAGAGAAAAATAGCTTGACACTGTCAAGAAAAGCGCTGAAATGTCGAAGAAATGAGCTAAAGCAATTCAGAGATGAAAACGAGGCTTATATTGAATTGGTGTCTTAAACTTTAGATTTGTATTTACTCCTCAGGAAAACTAAGGATAATACGAATAGCAAAGACAATAAAGAAAGCTATTTTTAGAATTTGTATTTAAAAAGACATGGGAAAAGATTCACAAAATGTCGTAAGAGGCCTAATGTTTTATAGTCGTAAAATTTTTTTAATGTACCATAACTGCTAAACAGCTTTTACGGAATTTGCAACAACACTAAATTTTGTTTATCTGATAGGGATTCGAACACCGCATTTGAGTCTTTCGGGCATACTGTAGAGAACCTTAAGTGATACTTTATAGAAGACACGAACACCTTTTCTCTTTACAGGTCGATATAATATTTTTACGACGAAAGAAACAAGTGAATATCAGAAACGAGCGTTTTAGATCCTGAAGTGAGAGAATATGTATTATCACCAGGGGCTTGAAAATTCGTAAAACGCAGCGAATTTACAAAAAACAACGCAGTAAAACGAATATTTTCGCAGTAGATTTTGGGTGTAATTCTTCTTTTTTTTATTTACAAGCATGCAAATATGTATCGTTACCTTAAT